GAGTTCCATACGCCAGCAAAAGATGAATCCAAGCGATGCGAATCACTTGAGAATGTTCCCTCGTTAGTACAGTGGAAAATAACAGAATCAGGTGCATGTTTTCTTTTAGCGTGCGAAAGGACCACTAGAGCGACTCCAGTGAATATCTTTCTGGAAACTTTGTAGAGAATCTCACAGTGCAGCTTTTAAAACAATCAAGATTCTATTCTTTTTCAGTACGGAGTTATATGCATAGTAAAAGCATCACAATCAATGTGATGCACGTAATTTATAGGCGTGTAGTACATGATATTCTCGACAATTTACGTTTATTTTAAAATTTCCTAAAACAATTTTCTGAAACAAGATGAAGGCAACGTGGGCTGTGTTTTTTCAAACATTCTGAATATCGATAAACTTTTGCGACAAAAAGAATATTCTAGCTCAAAGATACAGCCTTGTAAGTGGCGAGACCGACTGTTGAGAAAAGAAGAGATCCATACTGCCATACTCAGTTAATTTAACCCCAGCCATGTACTCGCGCTCACTCACTTCTACATATACAAGGATTCATCAACTCGACAGTTTTGACTCTTGGCAATACAAAAAAAATTTGTCTACCTTGTAGAAACAGTAAGATAGGATATCGAAAAAATGTATCTCATCCCCAGCCTGAAAATAAACATCTCAATAAGAAAGTTCTGCCGAATAATTATTTGTTTTCAGTTTTATTTGCATATCATGATGATTTCTTAGATGTTGACATCGAAGACTCACCAAGTGCTTCTGATAATGCAGCCAAAAATAAACCAGAATCATCGAAATCAAAGACGAAGGACGGCATTGAAGAAAGCGATCCATCTGTTGTGAGTCCTCGATTAACGAAGAATGATGAAGAGGGCCAGACTTCTACAGTGGAAAAGCCTATAGTAGCAGCTACGCCGAACGAAACTCACAACAAACAACATTCTTCAGTAGCAACCAAGGTAAATGAATGAATGCATGCATTCTCGAATATCTGTATTGATCGAATCCTTTATGTCTATCTATAGATGCCCACAGAACAGAACAGCAAGACAAATGAAGGTACGCTTTGGAAGACGTGCTCTTTGTTGCACGCTTTCCACTATTATGTAGAGTAGAGAGGAAATTGGCTGCTGAAGACCGCTGATTCCCATCAAAGATTGTTTAGCAATGGTAAACATTCAAGACTGAAGATGTGGGATGAAGTTTCAAGTTCTCTCTATTGCTTACTTAGTCTAAGAGTGTGAGGGTGTAAGTGTGGAGTGTGATTGTGGGTGAAAGTGTGGGTGTAGAAGTAAGTTTGAATGGATGAACAAACGATCAACACAGACACTGACATCTATGCATACCCACATTCACACCGCCAGTATTCGGAAGAGAAAGCGATCTACACTGATATACATAGTTTATTTCACCTAGAGATGTTCTTAGCCTTACCAACGTACACATGTCCTACTGAATAACTATATGCTTTCAGTTCTATTTGCATATCATGATGATTTCTTAGATGTTGACATCAAAGATTCACCAAGTGCTTCTGATAATGCAGCCAAATATAAACCAGAATCATCGAAATCAAAGGCGAACGATGGTATTAAAGGAAATGATCCATCTTTTGTGAACCCTCGCTTAAGAAGGAATGATGAAGTGGCCCAGACTTCTACAGCGACAAAGCCAATAGTAGTAGCAGCGCCGAACGAAACTCACAACAAACAACATTCCTCAGTAGCAACCAAGGTAAGTGAATGAATGCATGCACTCTCGAATATCTGTATTGATCGAATCTTTTATGTCCATCTGTAGATGTCCACAGAACAAAACAACAAGACAAATGAAGGTATGTTTTGGAAGACGTGCTCTTTGTTGCGTGCCTTCTACTACTGTGTAGAGTAGAGGGAAAATAGCCTACTGGAGAACATTGATTTTTCACCAAAGATTGTTCAGCAATGGCGAATATTCAAGATAAAAGATATGGGATGAATTTTCAAGTTCTCGCCTTTACCTACATTGTATAACATGGGTCATTAGCATACTTGAGGCAAAAATCTGAGATAGACTTTACATCTTTCAACGAAGACACACGAATCTTTGCGTGAATCTTGTTAATAGTTCATATTCGTACTTGTGCCACAGTTGTTTGGAAAGAGGTATCTCTTCATATCGTAGTGCAAGTGGATTTCTGTGCATCTTTTTCTCGTTCTATATTAACACTATCTATCAGAACTGCATATATCCGTTGATATGTCCCAGTTTGATTCAGTCTATTGTTTTTGAATCAGTACGTGTTATTCTGCAATCTTAGCATGACAGTAAAAGCCACTGAACTTGATATATGATTCACCGGATCTTTTTCTTGATACAAACTGTTTTGAGAGAATACACAGATAATGCTCATGGTTTCAAATAAAAATGTCTAATGAATGAATGAGATGCAGAAAACTTCACAAAAGCATCTAAATCTGTCAGCATAATATGTCATTCTTACTGAAACATTTTTATTGAAAATGTGCTTCTAGGTGTATGTGTTGGTCTTATCTTCATTTCCACCCACAGGAGATTGTGTGACTGGACAGTTTGAAGTGGGTAAGAATTTAGAAATTCAAACCGATGCATCCGATCAGAAAAGGGTGAAATCTAAATAAATTTTCCAATGATAGACAGCATTGTAACATAATTAAGTCAACTGATAGAGTGACTTCTAATCACTGAAACAATGATTTTGTTTGACTTTTTTTCATTGCAGCTATCTATAAAATGCAAAAAAACCACGCTGCATGCCGATTCCTATCAGGTATGTTCTGGAGTTCAATTATGAAGATACAGGATCGCAAGAATATCACTTTTGACAAGCTTTACCATGAGGTGAAATATTGAGAAAAATATCATGAATGTTTAGAGAAACCTTGGCTCGACCTTCAGTATCATCAAAGCGGCACAAAATCGATCAAACAGCCACATGAACTGGCAGAAAATATGCAAGATCCTCCTGAGGATATTAATGATGACATACTGAATCGCATTCAAGGATCGATGGTTGGAATGGCTTTGGGTGATGCTCTTGGTGCTCATGTAGAGTTCCGACCCCGAGCATTTCTCTTGCAGAGTCCAGTAACCGACCTAGTGGGTGGAGGAACTTGGGGCCTGAAAAAGGGACAGGTAAGCCGTTGTCTGAGATATTAAATCATAGGAATTTTCATTGGTATACAAAATTGACATGAAAATTATTTTCTTATGAAAGTTCTTGCTAGTTTCGCTCTTCCACATGACTGAATAATGGAGATTTATCGAAAAGATTTATTTTAGTTCACTGACGATACTTCCATGGCCCTTTGTCTAGCAGCGTCCTTGGTTTGCCGTCAGGATTTTATTCCCTATGATCAGCTTGTTCGTTACAAGTGGTGGTATAAGCATGGCTATATGTCTTCAACCGGAAGTTGTTTCGATATTGGCGCAGCTACTAGTGATTCACTGAATGAATTTGAATATCGTCAGCAACAGTTTGCTGCCAAGCATAACATTCCGATTGCACAATTAGACTATCTTTCTGATGCTGGCCTGTTGACTAAGTTCCCAGTGAAATGTAGTGAATCAGGTGTTGCTGGTAATGGAGCCCTTATGCGTCTGACTCCCGTACCACTTTTCTTCTATAGACATCCTGTTCATGCTGTCGAATACTCAGGATTTAGTGGCATGATTACGCATGGAGATCAAAAAGCCTATGATGCATGTCGTTATTATGGTGCGCTGATCGTAGCCGCTGTACAAGGTGCCGAAAAGGAAGAGTTGCTAGATAACAATTTTTACGAAACCCATTTATCGTGGTTTAACTCCATTCCGCTGGTTCCAGAGATTATGAAAATCGCTCATGGGTCTTATAAGCAAAAAGGTGGATACGATGCTGGTATTCGAGGCAAAGGATACATCGTCAATGCTCTCGAGGCTGCTTTATGGGCTTTTTGGTCTGAAGAAACCTTTGAAAAGGGTGCTCTCGCTGCTGTCAATTTAGGTGATGATACAGACACAACTGCTGCTATTTACGGTCAATTAGCTGGCGCCTATTATGGTTATAAAAAACTACCTGGAAAATGGATCCAACATGTCTATGCTAAACGTTTCCTACTAGGTTTGAGTGAGTGGATCGCCTATGAAGGAGAGATGTGGCAGCCAAATCAGTCGCTCGCCTCGACTATCTCGCCCGTATCTGTGCGGTCTCAACTCAATACTGTTGAAATTTCATCAGATCAACAAAAACCGGATGCTAAGAAAACGCCCTTAACACAAAAGATATCGAGCACCTCGCCACAGCAGCCATTGCCAAGAGAAACTCGACGAACAGGATCATCCAATGGACCTGGACAACATGCCGCAACGCCATTCGTTCCTATATCAGGACACACTCCAACACCACAAGGAACTGAAACGAACAGGCGACCTGGAAATGCTATAAATAATTCTCAAAAACAGCCTCGTACCACTATCAGTACAAAAGATAATTCTACTTTGGCTGCGAATTCATCAGCCGCGCAATC